ATTTTAAGGTCTATTGCTCTTCTTGAGATCTAGATTAAATCAGTGTACAACTGAACACTACTGTAATTTTGGTCTTTTGTAGAACATAGTTTAGTTTTTTGCTTAAATTCTCCCTATAACTGCCAAAGCAGTACACCCTTTAATTGCAAAGCAGTACACAATAATACATAAAAGTATAGTGCTGTAGTTAGAATCAATTTTAAAATTGTCTAATCAAATGCATGTTAGGAAAAAGATAAGGTGAGTTTGACCTTGTAACGTCTGTATAGGTTTTAAGACAGCATGGGTAATATACTTTTTTCTTCTGGCAATGAAGAAAAAGATCTCTTTTGCTCTTTTTTAATGCTTTTTAATGGAAATAACCATCATTGCCAATATACTTAAGTACTATAGAAATAAGTCCTTGCTTTCTCTCTTACACACACACATACACACACATGACCCCTGAGCACATCAGTAGAAGATACAGGTATTTCTCATGTTGAGTATGATCATCATGGTCTTGACTGATGCGTTGAGCTTACTTACGCACTAGAGAAGGCTGGTGTTAAATATGGGCCCATGCTGGAGCCTGAGAAGCTGTTTTGAGGGAAGGAAGCACAGAAAGGAATCAGTATTACTCAAAAGGAATTGTACTTTGTCTTGTAGCTCCATATATTTTAGCCATGTGACCATGGGAAAGTCATTTAAATGCTCTGAAGCATAGGATCCTATTTTGTAATGTGAGTATAAATGTAGTATCTATGTTTAGGATTGTTGCCAGTAATAAAAGTATTTCTGTGCTCTGCAAACTCTCAAATAACATATTTATTCTATTTTGGGGTATGCGGTAGATGGATTGCTTTTTATCAAAGGAAAATAAGGGAATATTCAAGTGGATAAAAGTAAGAAAAGTAAATGGGATACATCTAAAAAAGGATTATAGGAGAGATTTTTGAATTCTAGAATAACATGCTTAGAATATAGGAATTACAAAGTAAAGATCAAGTCATGACCAAACAGGTCCTTTTACCTTCATGAAGGAATGTGTAAAAAACTAATTCTTCAGAAAGCTTTTTTAGATAATATAAAGATATTTACAGAGGAGTAAGAAAAAAATAACTTATAACTGAGGCTGAAGAAGATTTATAGCAGAAGTAGAGCTAATAAAGGCTTGTCCTCTTTCCCACAAAAAGGTTTACAAAACCAAAATGGTCCCCTAGCACAATGATACTACTTAAAAGTATTCCTTTTTGGACGATGTCTTAGTCTGGAAGAATATCTTATTGGTTTTCCCAGCCATCATTATGCAGACAGATATTAAAAGCATCTGATGTCAGCTAACCTTAAGAGAATCAATAACTGAAGTCACAAAAAACCATTAGTAAGTGAAGGTACCCTATCTCTAAGTTGCTTCATCTCTAAGGTGGCCTGGAAGGTGGTCGTCATGGAGAGGAAGAACCTGGGTCACCAAGGACTCCTGTTCTTCATTCACTCCCATTCACTCATGCCTCAGGAACTACAGGACGCCAGGTTGGTCAACAAGATAGCACTTGATGAATGAGCTCCAAGTCACAGTGGGAAGCCCAGTCACTCATGGACTATGGAGGTGGGCACAGAACAGGGCAAATTGCCTAAGGCAGTTTCAGAAGTGGAAGATTCCCCATGACGTATATGATATGTGGCCACAATATGATAAAAAACCCTTTTCCATCATATCTTTCAGTTGTGGGACTCTTAAAAAATATCACATCCTTGTATTTTTTTCCCTACTCTTTCACATTATTTTATCCTACCTGAGGATGTTGATGCATGTCTGTTTGTTTCTCATAAACCGGTTAAGAAGCTATTATACTTTGATGAATTCAAATGTTACATAATTAGAATTTTGTTTTTTTCATATAAAATTATTTTTCAATTAGAAAACATAGATATGAACAGAAAAATCAGTCTCTTAGAAATGAAGTCCTTGAGTACCTTAAAACAGTAAAATATATACGAATTTGGCAGAAATGTAAATTTTACATTTATTTTTGGATATGTAAAATTATCAGTGCTCCCAAGTTCTGATTAAATGAATTTTGCTATATAATGTATGGCTTTTTTAGAGGTCTAAAGTTCATAAATAGAAAATCTATATTTCTTCTATAGATAGTATTATAAGTACTATTTTCCTAAAAATGATCATTATTTTAGTCTTTCTCCACAACACAGACAAGCAGTTAGGGGACATAGACAAGAAGAGATAGTATGTTGCTTTATAAAATCCTCACTTATTTGAAATCATTTAATACACACTAGAAACACATATTATAAAGACTATCTATATACTTTATAAGGAAAGAATGAATGCAGATACATTGAAGAAACGGAATAATATAACAGTTACAGCAGTTACCAGATTTCAGAACTATCTTTTTCAGTGCTTTTGATACTATTTTTTGATATATTTCGAAAATGTGTAGTAGTATACTTTTTATATTTCACCAAAGGGAATTTGCTTTAAGTAAATGCTTATAGATGCAGCTGGAGTCAGTAGGAAACATTCTGTAGTATGTTGTCATGCCACAGTAAAAGTATTCATTTTCCTAAACTATAAATCAATAATTCTTATACCAGTCATTTCCAACCATCATTTTATGGATGAGGATATGCTGAGAATGTTGTTCATTGAAATAAATGCAAACTCTTGAACTTATACTCTAAACTTACTAGTTCTTGCTTTTCTTTTTTTAAATTAAAATAGTGAGAGGGAAAATCAGGAGCAAAAGGGCACATACCTGAGAGGGAGCTCTGAGGGTGTGAGGTGGGCCAGACTCCTGTTCTCCAGCTGCTGTGGGCCATGGGTCCAGCAGTAAGGACAATGAATTGGGTGTATATTTATTTTTATGTTCTGATCTCTCTCTTTCGTTTACAATATTTTTGGGGTGTTTTTGTTTGCTTTTTAATGAATCTTTTTAAGTTATTGTCATGAGAGAAGAAATTCATGCTTTTGCAGAGGAAGGATTCTGAAGCGTTTTAATGACAGTCATTGCTAACATCTATCGAATGCTAGGTGTCAGGTACTTCATTGACCTCTTTATCTGTAAAAGCACTTGTTCTCTCTTTTGTTCAATGCTTTGACAAAGAAGAAAGTTTTACCAAAATTGCAAGTAATACAAAATTAGGAGAATCAGCTAATTAGTTGGGGAAAAATAATTCATTAAAAATAATTTTATAAGCTAAAAAGTGTTTGAAACAAAGAAGCTGACATTTAACAGAATAAATGTAAATCTTAGATTTATTTTCAAATAATTAATTTCTTGTGTGGAGAATGGTGGATATCTGATTTGGTAGCATATGTAAAATATACTTTGGGTTTTAATATAACCCAAGAGCATGGATCTGCTGCTAAACACTTAACTCAGTCTTATTCTCTGTTAATTGAAATATAGTGTCCATATCTAGGGAATTAGCAGCCTAACCTCACTTGCTGCTGGTCACACAGGAAGTGAGAGATTGAGTCTGGGCACCACATTTTAAGAGACAGGTTGACAGCAAACTGGAACATGTTCAAAGGAGGGACGGTGAAGGGTCTGGAAACCATATCATATGAGGATAACTGGGAGAATGTGTCCATGTAGCCTGAGAAAATGACAAGTTGTGTTAACATTTTCAAAGCCTGTTCTGGAGAAGAGGGAATAGAATTTTCTGCAGTGTTACAGAACTTAAATGAATGAGGGAGTCGCAAGGTAGTAAATTTAGGCCCCCAGAAGAAAATGCTAACAAAGTTGTTCACGAAACAGGCCAGCTCAACAATGGTGAGGTGCTGGCGTTGTAAGTCTGAGGTAGAAGCTATGGCAAACCTCATGTTTACTTCCTGTAAAAAGCAGAGTCAGAGTCTAGGGCAAAATTTTCTCTTTTAAGTTTAAACTGAGGTCCATCTTCATGATAACCCACTCAGATTCTTTTATGTCGTTGGAGAGAATGAGAGAATATTTCCCTCAAGTGGAGCTTTCCCTTAACACAGACAGGCAGACAGTCTCTCTGTCTCTCTCTCTTCCTCTCTCACATACACAGTGCTACTCTGTACCTGTATTTTACATCTTTCCTCCTTTACCATCTCTTTTTTTTTTTTTTTTTTTTGAGACAGAGTCTCGCTTTTGTTGCCCAGGCTAGAGTGAGTGCCGTGGCATCAGCCTAGCTCACAGCAACCTCAAACTCCTGGGCTCAGGCGATCCTCCTGCCTCAGCCTCCCGAGTAGCTGGGACTACAGGCATGCGCCACCATGCCCGGCTCATTTTTTCTATATATATATTAGTTGGCCAATTAATTTCTTTCTATTTATAGTAGAGACGGGGTCTCGCTCAGGCTCAGGCTGGTTTCGAACTCCTGACCTCGAGCAATCCGCCCGCCTCGGCTTCCCAGAGTGCTAGGATAACAGGCGTGAGCCACCGCGCCCAGCCTTTACCATCTCTTAATTGAGAAAAAAGGAGTCAAGGTAGGTGGGAATCCAAGTCCCATTTAGCAACTCTACCAGGAATATTTTCCCAACATTTATTTCTGACTTTAACAGCAAACAGGGCATGATCTAGCTTGGCACATGGCAACCAGTTTGTTGGCTTGTATTGTGTGTGTGAAAAGATACACTGGAGACAGAGTAAGAGGTAAACACTAATAATGTTTGCCTGGATGACAAAAATCATGTTGCAGAGATGTGTGTGTTTTCTTGGGGATTGTAGAGTGGAAACATTGTATGAAAAGAACAGATTAAAAATGAATATCGTCAGTATCCCTCTTTATGTAGGTTTCTAAAGTTTTTCTATATGTGTATTAGTGACGATTATATTCTTTAGTGTAAATCCTTCATTCATGCTGGTATCTAAAGACAAGTCATATATTTATGAACTGAAAAATGGTGACAAGACTTCCCTCTTCCTTCCTTCCTCCCTCCTTTGCTCTTTCCCTTCTTCCCTCTCCTCCTCCTCCTCCTCTTCTTCCTCTTCCTTTTCTTCTTCTCCTATTTCCCTGGCTTCAGGTCCTCTTCCTTCTCCACCTTCTTTTCATTTTCTTATTTTTTTTTCCTACAAAGGGGCATCTTTTTTTCTACCCTTGAAACCCCCAGTCTTCAGTCTAGAGATTAAGAATGATTTTTGGCTTAGGTCTGGCATTTTGGCTTTTTCCTGTGCATTGCTGTTTGCCGACTCCACAACTTTGCAATGTCTTTTTTTTTTTTTGGTAAAGCAAACAGGACAGCATAAACTATGGAGAATTTATTAATAAAATTTCAAGAAGTCAACTCAGCATATATTGAATAACGAAATTTGGAATGTTTTCCCTATTGTTGCACAGTTCCTGCCAGGCAGCCTTGGCCCGAGTGCCTGAGCCCAGCTTGCCCTGTGCGGTTTGAGGCCTTTAACTCTGAGGCAGGTCATTAACCGGCTGGTGAAGCAGCAGCACATTGTTCTGTTATTTTCAAACCACAACAGCCTCTGTGGAATCCAAGAGCCATAAAAACGTAGTTCTGATGTTGCCTGACAGAAGCATAATTCATGTACTCTATAATTTAAAGGGATTTCGATGCAATTGTAAAACTAATAAAAAATGAATTCCTTTTGGGAAACACTGGTACCTTGTTTAATCAATTGATTCTACTAATTTTAAAATACAATCAGCCTGGTAGCTCTGTGTATGTGTGTGTGTGTGTGTGTGTGTGTGTGTGTGTGTGTGTGTGTGTGTAGATAAGTAAGATTAAATCTGATGCCAGTAGTTTCAAGTACGTAACATCACTGTTGGATGAAAAGAAAAAAAAAGAAGAGAGGAAAAAGAAAAAAAATCCTAGAACAATTTATGGCCTGTAGCCAGTAACAAAGTGTTTCTCCCTGTGCCTTTTTATCATTTTCCCCCCAAAAGTTGATTATGCCTAAGTTAAAAAAAAAAAAAAAGTTTTGGTACGTTGCTAGAAGGTTTAGATTTCAGCCTGGATTTAAAAAAAAAAAACAAAAAAACCTCAAATGAAAGGCTCTTTTTAATCAGATAATTGACCAGCCCGTAATTTTAGCCTGTCTGTGACACACCATTTGGCAGGTACAGAGGTACGCAGCCCTGGGCCTTCGCCTCTCTTCCCCTCCCCCCGGGACTGTCATTGAGCTCCCTGTCTTGCTGCTTGTCCCCAGAGACACCCCCAAACATTTTGAAGTTCAGGAGAGCCAGCTGTCAAAGGGGACCACGCAGATGGCACAAAAGGGACTCCAGCCCTCCATCACCCCACCTGGGGGAAAAAGTAGCAGCTCTCCCCCCTGCAACTCCACAGCTGTCTCAGATCTAGAGCATTCGTGTTTCAAATGGATCCCCGGTTTCCTGAAATCTTGGCTCTAAAATTGTTTAGGAGGCTTTGGTGGGGCTTTGCATACAAGCACATTAACTCTTCTATTTTAATTCCCCCCGACATGAGTAATGGCAGCTCGAGAATGCCCTCTACAATGTCACGTCACAAAAGGCTCGGAAAATTATCCCTTCCCCCTATTGTCTGTCTGTTTTCTTTTATTCCTTCTCTACTCATCACGTTCGCTGGCAGCCATGAATGAAATGTAACATGCTAAATGACTGACATCCATTAAAGCTCCTCGACAAACCTTGGGCCGTGTTTTGAAAGGCCCCTGGAAGAAAAAGGATTGTGTGCTCTTTGAATCTTGCTCTGCTGAACGGCTGCCAAGTGAGGGCTGCCCCATTCAAAGGGCTGAGTGAATAAATGAGAATAACATCCTTGGGGACCCGCAGGATCAGTTTACTCCGAAAATGCTCAGCTTCACAAAGGGTCAGAGTCACAAGGTAAGTGAAAATGGCTAGGAGGGGACTTTGATGGCCGAAACACTGTAACAGTAGAGGACTTGAAAGAAAACTTTATTTAAAAAAAGAAAAAAGGAAAAGAGGGGAGCGGGGGCAGGGGACCCTCAGTTGATAAGAACAACACGCTTCGACAGCCACATCAATGAATATTCGTTTATAAATTTTACGCGAGCAGTATATAAATACATGTGCCTACGAAAACGTATAAACTCTTCGTCTGTCCTCGTCTGTAAACATCATGAATTAATTTTATTTTACACATGAATAGAAACTGGGTCAAGCCGCTGAGCTCATTTTCTTGGTGGGCTATATAACGTAAGTGCTCTCATTTTCATCTTAGTCACAAGCGATAAAATCTAGAGCACCATCAAACATGCCATTTCTTTGGATCGCTTCTTGTTTTTTCCCCCCACACACTAGTCCTCATTAGAACGATTTCTATTTGACTATTTTAATGGAGGTGCATTAGAAGCAGTTTCTAGGCAAGGAAGTCAGAAAAACCACAGGAATTCTTGACATGTTTCCACAGAGCCTCTGCATGGTGCCTGCCACGGGGTCACTCCTAGAAGGCCCTCAGGCCCCTGGCGCTTTCAGACCATTTTTAGATGTGTAGACTGTGGTAGCACAAAGAAATCCTACAGAATTAGTTACATCAGATTATCTCCAGTAAAGATATGAATGAAGTTCAGTCCCTCCTTTAGTTTTCTTCAGTAAGTGAGGATTATGACAGAGGTCGTAGCTGAAGTGGACGAAGGAGATTGGGGCAAATGGTGGCCTTGCCCCTACAGGTCTGATCTCCAGTGGAGGTGGCATGTTGTCATACAAACCATGGAGCCTGGTGGGGCGAATGTGCCCCTTTCCCCTACAAAGGCATATGCACCCGTAACCTGTAAATATAACCCGATTTGGAAAAAGGGTCTTTGCAGATGTATAATAATTAAGTTCAGGAATTCGAGATGAGGTCATCCTAGGTTGGGGTGGACTCTAAATCCAATGACAAGTGTCCTTAGAAGAGAGGGGAGAAGACAGAGGGAAGAAGGCAATGTGAAGATGGAGACAGAGACTGTAGGAATGTGTCCATAAAACAAGGAATGCCAAGGGTTGCCACAGCCACCAGGAATGAGGAGAAAGGCATGGATTGGATTCTCCCTCTGAGCTTCACAAGGAACCACCCCACTGACACTTTGATTTTGGACTTCGGGTTCCCAGAACTGTAAGAGAACGAAGTTCTGTTGATTTTAAGCCACCAAGTTTGTGGCAGTTTGTTACTACCGCAGGAAACAGTGTTACTACTACTCCAGGAGTATTAGCAGTAACTAATCCCTGATGGCAATGGCCGTGTGCTACATCTGTAATCACGGGGTCATCTATTAACAGTCTGGGCTTGCTGCTCTCCAGTAAGAGAGAAATCAGTTCCTTCTGAGGCCGCCCATTGAATTATTGAGTCACACTGGCCATGTAGGCACATTCTGCTGGAGGTCTCCCTGAGATCATTTTCCCAAGAAAACCTGGTTTTCAATAGCCAAACATGCATATCTCCTTAGTGTGTTATTTTGCTGATGTTCGTGAAGGAAAAAAAACTATTCCCCCAAACACATTAATGTGTGGGAAAAGGCTCAAGTTCTGTTCCAAATACAATTGGTATTAGAATTGCGTGTGAAGCCTGCTTGTGTTAAGAAAGGCTACCTTACTCCACACAAAGCAACTGAGTGTATTAAACTGCTCAATAATTAGAAATTGATGTTTTAAGCATTTTATAATCTAACTTATTAGTTTGTTATATGTATATAGGAGGCTTACTGAGTTTTAATAACTTGGTTGGTGGTTTGGGGTTAATATGTAGCACATTTTAATTTTTTCTACTTAAAATAATGGGAAATTGACTTTCAGTTACTGTTTCTTCACAGAATGTCTATTTCTCAAGACTGTATTATAAAAGTTGTACAGGAGAGATTTGTACTTCCTTTTTTTTAAATTTCAGCATATTATGTGTCTACAAATTTTAAGGTTTCAAATTATACCCTGGCCCCCCTGTACTTTGTTTTATTGGTATGCCTTTGCATGTACATATTCTAAAGGAGCATGACTATACCCTTGAAGAAAATATTTTGTTAAAAGATGTGACTTAGTATCTTTACCTAATAATCTGAATTAGAAACTTTAGGGAGTGACTGATTTAATTTAGATTTATGATCCATTAATGTTTTCAAGTTATAGTAGATTCTTCTTCAGTTTTCATACATAGTACTGGCTAAAAGAACCTTTTGAATATAGGTAATTTCTTTAAAATAGGCTATTTTTAGGACACAAAAATGTTAACAGAACATTTATTATGCTTGAGTTTTGGAGATTTAGATTAATAGCACAAAATGATTTCTATCTAACTATTTTAAGGAATACATTTGAGGAAGAATTTCAGGTATGTCTAGTTATCAACAGTTATAAGTGGCCTGAAAAAGCTAGCTTGTTTTTCTGGATGTTTCAATAATTCCTAAGGAGAAAGATATTGGCAAAAAATGGCTTAAAGTGTAAATTTATAGAGCAGAGTCATGCTCAACAGTTTATATGTAAACACCTATTTGACTTTAAAATATGCACATGGAAGAAATCCTAGTTAAAAAAAGAAAAACATAAGTTATCTGGAATGGATTTATCACAATTATGTGTTCTCAAAACCCTATCTTTCAAAAAAAAATGCCAAATAAGAGTGACACATGGAGTTCATTATATTCTAGCTAATGGTTTCAATCAAATTTATAACAGAGCTGAGTTGGCAGCAAGCATTTCTGGACCTATGTCTCCAATCACAGGGTACCCAGGGACACAGGCACTCACACACAGAGGAAATCCAGTGTCCATACCACTGATGACTAATGTCTCTGCCACCCACATTTTTTACTCCCAGGGACAAAATAAGTTTTGTTTGTTTGTTTTGCCTCTATAAAAGGCCAAAATAAAAGGGTTGGCAGAATAAATTTTATTGTAGGGTAAATGACATCGAATTTTTTAGCTTTGCACTATGATAAGTTCATAGTAGAGTTGGATGGAATGGAGAACATATTTCTTTTTTGTGGCATGGCATAATATGTTTTCAAAACTTTGCAGTTCACACATGGAGGAAATAAGAAAGAACAGTTTATTGACACTGTCAGTGAAAATTTGTGTTCACTTTTTCTTTCTTTCATGCATTCAAATGTGATTTCAAGTTGACCTTTATCTAGATAGTCTTTATATTCTAATTTCTATTTGGAGTATTTTGTCAATTCTTCATATACTATTTAATATATTTTGCTAACTCAAACAAAGAACTCTATTTTTTGTTTCCTTTAGGGTGTGGGGATTGGTGAAAAGAACAGTAAGTGTGAGTGCTTTATTTTGTGTATTAACTTCTTTTTACAAAAGTGCTTTGAAAAGAATAGAGCTGGAAACTTATTGTGAGGTACCGCTTCTGTTGAACTGTGATAGAGGAATATTTTGCTTGTATTTGTAGTTTTGGCCTTCAGGGGGCGCCCAAGTGCAGCGAAGCTAAATCATCTGGCACGCCCTGCTGTGTTTTCATGCTACCTGAGTAACCCTAGTTCAGAAAAATGCAACAAAAGCCAAAGTAAGCACTCCTTCCCCATCTGTCACCGCGTGGAAGAGAGCTGAGGCAGCCATATTTAATCAGCACTGAAGTCTCCCCCTGGGTGATGTTCGTGCCCTTCTGTAATATTTTATTCTAAGCCATTTCCCAGACAGCATTATTGATTCGTGTCATTATTCTCCCCCAAGCTCCGGGAGCTTGTGCAATGTGATACCAACTGCAGTTCTCTTCATGAACATAACCTCAGTACCAAAAAGTAAGGTGACTGCAGTGGATGGTAGATATTTTAAACTTAACAATCTTACATCAATTGGTTATAATGTATTTGCTAAAATAGAAAATTACCAGAAAAAATATATATATTTGGCACTTGTTTCTTATTTCTGCTTTTTTACTTTTTTACTAGGAGATTTATGCTTGTAGTGAGAAGATACTATACTTTAGGTATTTTGTGTGGGTGGTTTGGATGAAGACCTCCCCTACCCTGGAAGACTCGTTAAAAATAATAATACATTTGATATTTATCTTGGCTAGAGTTCTGAAATTCTTTCCTTTCTCTTCTCACAGAGATCAAGGAAGAGAGTAGAATTTTCTTTTTTCTTAATGACAGATAATGAGTTGTAAGAGACAATCCTGGTTGTTGAATGAATTAGTGAGTGAATGAATGAATGAAAGAAAACCCAATAATTTTCATTATTGGGCCCAGAGGTCTTTTTACCCTTAGGAAATGGCTCTCAGGGAAAATGATTAGTTTTCTCAAAGCTATTTCAATTTGGAGTCCAGCAGCATCATTAAAAAATCTGCATACTCGTACTTACCTTTTAGACATAGTATGGTAAAGAATAACAAATGCTCTCAACCATGGTCCCTCCATCTATATTCTTGCACACATATCTTTAAAAAAAGGTCAATCAAATACCTAGATCTTTGCAATTTTAGCACCAAGTTTTTGTTTTTTGTTTTATCTTGGGCCCAGGAGAGTAATGGAAGGTGAAATACCCACTGTTTTCCTCCTCCTCCTCCTCTTTTTCATCCTTCAGTGATGTATTCTAATAATTGTAGTACTAAACCTGCATCTCTAGTAGGATGGTCTTCAGGAATCTTTTTGTCAGTTAAGTTTAAGTTGACTATTGCAATTCATCTTTGCACAGTAATCATTACCAATCCAGAATTCTGCTTGTCAATTTCTAAAATAAAGTTATTATGGTAATAATTTACCTGAATACCATGATAGATAATAAATTAAGATTACAATATTAATAATATTACCAATTATTGAACATCTTCCATGTTCCAGGTACTCTATCAGGCAATTTATTAATGTTAGCATCCAACTCTCACAATACTGCCAGATGCCAGGCTGAGTGTTGTGCATAGTTTTATCACTTATTCCTCACAT